GTCAGGGGCATTCCCCGCCCATTTGTGATGTATAGCTGCGGGGCAGAGACTATGCCTGCCTGCCATTGGTTGGCTGGGGAGGAGGGGGTGGTGGTCAGAGTTTTGAGCGGGATTGGGCAAACTGAGTTCACACCAAGTCCAGCCTCATCACTACTCTTAGACTGTTGTCACCAGAACAAGTGTTTCCCTTTTGGAAGATTTGCCCTCTATTCCTGTTCTGGTGATAGCTTCAGAATATTGCATCCTTCATCACCCTCTGTAGTGGTCACCAGAACACTTCCCAGTGGGGACCCAGCAATAACAATCTGGCAGAGATTCCAACCCTTCCTCACTCTATTAACCACTTAAAGGCCATAGTGTTTCACCCCCTTCCTGGCCAGGCCATTTTTCAGTATTCAGTGCTGCGGTACTTTGACTGATGTTTATTCTGTCATGCAACACTTTACTGAAACGATTTTCATACCATTTTTTGGGGACAGATAGAGCTTTCTTTTGGTGGCTTTTATTCACCAATGGGGTTTTTATTTTTTACTATATAACAAAAAAAGTACCATAAATTTTGAAAAAAAACATGTTTCCCTATAAAATCTTAAGACGCCCACCCGCTCTGAGCAGACTTCCGTCCGGCCATTCACAGACGGCCATGGACGGAAGGTGGTTAAATCATATTTTTTATTAACCCTTGCAGTGGGGCTACACTAAAAAAGTTATACTTGCCCGATCCTCCCAGGGCTCAGTCACACTAGATGCAGTGCGTTCCGGCCCGATTTTCAAGTGAATAGCGCCGTAGCCACGCCCTCCGCCGCACGGGATCGCAAGGCACATTGTGCCTGCGGTCAGATCCTGTGCGGTGCGATCAAAATGCTACAAGCACTATTTTGATCGCACAGGACCGGACCGCAGGCACAATGTGCCTTGCGATCCCGTGCGGCGGATCGCATTGCGGCCAGAGGGCGTGGCTACGGCGCCACTTGAATGGCCTGCCACGCCCCATCCTGCCCCACTTCAAGGGGAAAAAAAGACATAACACAAGTAGAGAACAACCCATAACAATTCTCATGTGTATCTGTTTATTCTTCTGCTCTCTGATTTTCCAATAAGGAAATGGAAAGTAGAATGAATATTGCTGCTGGATTTGGCGGACTTTGTACCCGTCACATACCAGTTGTAATTTGCCCAACCAATGAAAGCCAAACTGGCATTTAGTCTACTAAAGCAGCGTGAATCATGAACAACCTCCATGTTATTCTTCATCATAAAATAACCTTTTTTTTTTTTTTATTGTATCTGTTATT